GTTGCTGCCGGTGCGTCGCTTCGCAAGGTCCGTCCCTGCCCTCCGGCCGCTGCGGCAGCAATCCTTCCTGCTCAACTTCCCTCGGACGGCGCCGTCCCGGCTCGCCCAGCGGCTCTGCGAGGTGCGGTGCGGCCAAGGGCTCCTCTCGCCCCCCTGGGCTGAGGGGCCCTCCCTGCTGACCCCCCTCTCCTGCAGATCGCCCTGCGGCAGGGCATGCGGGCGGACACGGGTGCGCTGCTGGCGCTGTGCGAGAAGACAGAGAATGACATCCGCTCCTGCATAAACACCCTGCAGGTATGGGGCGTGCGGACGTGCTGCGGCTCTTGACTTGATCTCGGCTCAGGTGGGGACGGAGGGAAAAAACCCAGTGTCCCAGGCACATCTCCAAAACACCCACCCTGTCCCCTGGGTTATTTTGAACCTTGATTCCCCTGCAATGTGAGGAAGAGCAAGGTGCTTCCGGCTTTTCCCAGCACCAGCTAGCTGTTGTGGGCATCCCCACGGTGCCCATCCGTGCTTGTGTTGCAGTTCCTGCATGGCCGAGGCCAGAAGGAGCTGAACGTGCAGATGGTGCAGACGATGAAGATCGGCTTGAAGGACCAAAACAAGGGACTCTTCTCCATCTGGCAGGACATCTTCCAGCTCCCAAGGGCCCAGAGGTAAAAGGGGGGGATTTATTAGGGCTGCTGTCTGCTTGGGGCACACTACTTGGTGCTATCCCAAGACTTGCAGTGGAGAAACCGAGAAGGTCCTGGAGAACTGGTCGGCCCTGCAGCAGACCCAGATTCGGCAGGAGATTTGTGTGTCCAGACGCTCTTTGGCTGCTCTTTGGTGCTCAATAATTTGGCATTGGTATTGCCTTAAATCCAGTTTGCCAGGGTCCAAATATTCCTCGCTTGTCCGTTTAGTGCCAGGGTACCCAGAGCTCTTCCATCTGGGCTCTCCCCAGGCACAGGATAGGAATGGACCCTGCTTTGCCAGCCCAGCTCCTGGTAGGCGATGAGGACCTGTTGCACCTCAGGGAGACAGCTGGCTTCAGCGCATCCTCTCACCGCTTCCACCGCATCCTGCACCTTGCCGTCTCCTCAGGGGAGCCGGAGAAGCTGGCCCAGGTAGTGCAGCTGGGGTTGGGGGGAAGAGCCAAGCCCCTTCCTCTGCTGTGCCGGTTGGAGCAAGGGCAGCTCCTGATCCGGGGGCTTGTGGCTGGTGGGTGCCTCATCAAATCCCTCCCTGCAGCAGGATTGTGGATGGAGTGATGGGGTGTTGTGCTGGAGCTGGGCTCAGTGGGATGTTCTGATGGGACTGTCTGCCTGGCCTTGAGCCATCTCTAATCCTGCATCCACTTCCAGGGTCTGTACGACAATTTCCTGAACATGAAGCTGCGGGACTCCAGTTTCAGCTCGGTGTGCTCAGCCCTGGAGTGGCTGGGCTTCTCCGACGTGCTCAGCCGCGCCGTCCTGCATGGGCAGAGCTTCCAGCTGATGCGATACCTGCCCTTCCTGCCTGTGGCTTTCCACCTGCTCTTCGCAGCCACCAGCATCCCCCGGCTCGCTTACCCCAGCAGCCAGCACGAGGTGAGTACCGGGGAGGGCACGGTGGCAGTGTGGCTCCAGCTCTGTCACCCACGGGGACCTGCGGTTGCAGCTGTGGCCGAGCCATCCCTGCCCTCTCCACCCAGGCCCTGGCCAAGCTGAACCACATGCAGAACCTCGTCGTGTCCCTGATGTCAGGGATAACACCCAGTGCCCGCAGTCGTGCGGGGCAGCAGTCTCTCATCTTGGAGGTGCTCTGCCTGCTGCTGGACATCATCTCTCCGAAACTCCGACCGGTGAGTGCCCACCAACCCCCCTCGCTGTCGTGTCAGGAGTCCTGCCCGGTGACGTAACCCCTCCAAGAGGGCTCAGGACACATCCCCTGCGCTGCATCACCCAGGCTGAGCTATCCCACATCCCTGTCCCAGACTCGGGGTCGGTTTGACCCTGCAGCTGATGTAGAAGCTGGAGCAAAGCTGGGGACGGGGCACTGAGATACCCGACTGCTGGGTGTGCAGCCACCTGCACCTCCGGGACCCCGCACCCCAGGGGTGGGCTTGGCCCTGATTTGGGACCTGTTGCAGTCTCTTTACTGGTGACATTGGGTGCATTTACCCTTCGGGCCATCAGAGGGGTCTGTCCCTGCTCTGTGGAGTATGTCTGTCCCTGCTAGGAAGCTAAACTTCCTCTGAACCTTGTGGGTATTCGCCTTCCTCACGCAGACACAAACCTTGTGCTTCAGGTTATTTATGTGTTTAGGAGCAATTATGGGTGAGTGACGCTCCCCCCATGCTGGGTTCCGCTCTCTCCCCAGGTGAACACGCAACTCTACAGCCTGAAGGAGAAGCAGCAGCTGGCTGACCTCATCAGCACCATGCTGGCCTACAACCTCACCTACCATCAGGAGCGCCTGCCCGAGGGCCAGTACGTCTACAAGCTCGACCCGTAAGTCCCGAGGGCGAGGAGAAGGCGTAGGAGTCCAGAATAGCAGCAGAGAGGTCAGGAAGGAGCCTGAGCCTGAAAGCATCATGGTGTGGAGTTGGTTTCTGGCAGCCAGAGGTTTCTCTGGCGATGGCAGCTGGGGTGGTGCGGGCTGCCCGGTGCCGGGTTGGTACCGGGATGGCTGCAGGGAGCCCACTTCTCCGAGGGCAGCTCTGCTCTGTGGGGATTATCTGCTTCTTTGCCTCGGTTTTAAAGGAGGAGCTGGTTTTGCTTTAATGGGATTAAAAGAAAGGAAGCAGCTGCCTTTTGCTTGTTACCAGAGATGGCGAAGGAGGGACTGGGGGCAGCAGGTCCGTCCAGGCACGTTGGATGCAGGAGGTGACCGCAGGAACGGTCATAGCTCTGGTTGGAGCACGTTATCCAAGGCAGGCTTGTGCCTTGCCTGGAAAACGCAGGAGGAAGAGGAGGGAAGAAGCCGGGAGGTGTGGCCCCTCTTTGCCAAGTGAGATGCTCCAAGGCCTTCTGGGAGCTCTCTGTACGCATTAACTGTGAGGACATGCCCGAGCCGTGGGGCTGGTTTTGGTGAGGGACAGGGCCATCGGAACTCGAGACAGGAGGGGTTTTGGGGGCTTACACATGAACCCTGCAGCATCTCCCCTCCATGCACTGCTGCCTGCCCGGCCAGGGCAGAGCTGGGGGGGCACCGGGGCGCTCTGGCCGGTGCCTCCTGCTGCGGTGAAGCAGAGCTACGCCTGGAGACACTTCGGTTGTCAAAACGCTCGTGTGAGCGGTGTCCCCATCCCACCGCTTACCCGGTCCTCACCCGTGCGGGGTGGGAGCTTGTGGGCGCTGTCTCCGGATGGGAGAATGAGCGAGCGCTGGGTTTTAATTGTGAATTTGAATATTAATAGCTGGCCCTTGCTAGACGTGAATCTCATTGTGCTTTCAGCATAGACGGAGCTGTAAACGCTCTTGGAGCTGCGGTGAAGTAATGCAGACCCGACCACAGCTAGGAGCAACACTGATGTCTTCCTGGTGCAAAGTTAATTACAGAAATTAGCCCCCTGTTAAACAAGCAGCTGTATCTAATTACCATGAAGCACTTTGTTCGGTTTTTTTTCCTATGGAAAGGGCTACGGGAGCTGCAGGGAACCGTCCTGCTCTGCCCTCCCCACGCCAGGCTCTGCCACTGGAACATGGCCGTGGGGAAGCCGTGGGAGCCGCATGCCACAAGCAGGCGCTTCGCTTCGCTCCTTTGGTGAGGTCTGAGCCCATTTCCAGGCCGTGCACAGCGACGACAGAGACCGTGGGGGTGTCACGTCCCGGTGGCACCTGCGGGTTGCATCTGGGCATCTCTCCGGCGGAGTTGTGTCGGCAGCAAAACCTGTGTTTTCAGGTCCCATGGCAGGGGGTGGAACAAGGGGGTCTTTAAGGTCCCTCCAACCCAAACTATTCTGTGAAATCATAGATTTGACAGCTGATTTCTGAATGGCTGCGAAACCATCCGACAGGTGACCGTGTTCCCTTTATTTTAAGGGGGATAATACTGGATGTGAATAAAGCGTGGAATACTTAGGGCTGGCAGGGGAACAGGCCCAGCTGGCTCCTCCTCTACTGAAACAGGCCCAACTCCAGAGCTGGTGCACCAACCCTGTTAAGAATAAACCCGCCCTGATTCGCCAAAATTACTGTTCACGGCCGTGTCTTAATTAAACAGCTCCCCACGGGCATGTCGAGGTTCAGGCGAAGGGTCGCGGTGCCGCTCGTGCCCACGCTGTGATATGACTGTGGCTTTTTCAGGGCAATCTGTTCGGAAATTTCTTCTTCTTGCCTTAAAACCGAGATTAAACAGCACGTTATCCCTCCCGGGTTCCCGCTGAGCTGAGGTGCCCTGCAGCAGCCTGGCTCCGCACGGCCGACCCTGCTCGCTGGGCCCCTCGTGCTGCCGTTGTGTGCGCGGGCTCCGAGAGGGCAGCGACGGGGAAACTGAGGCACCATGGCCAGGGTCATCCTGAGAGGCTGGAGGGGACAGGGTTGGGATTCTGGTGGTGCTCCCTGTGCCCCTCCCTGTCAGGCTGCAGTTTGCGGAATGCTTTTCCCTTTTCAGTATTGATTTGTTTTCCCTTTTCCCCCTCGGGGCAGGAACGTGGAGGATGTCTGCCGGTTCCCAGACCTGCCGGCTCGCAGGCAGCTGACCTACCAGGCCAAGCAGCTCATCGCCAGGGAGATCGAGCTGGAGAAGATGAGGAGGACGGAAGCTTTGCTGCAGGCACAAAGCCTGGGCAAGGTAGAGAGGGCTTGCCTGTGGTTTCAGGGGGGATGGTGGGTCCAACGATGGGGATAAAGTCCTTAGGGCTGGTGTGGGGACCTGGATTTTCCAAAGCAGGCAGTGGATTTTGCTCTGCGAGTGGAAATCCAGGATTAACCCCCCCCAGTCGCAGCCGTCTGCCTGCACATCTGCCTTTGGGCAGCACATCTGTGCTGGGTGACGAGCCCGAAGGGTTCGTCTTTTTGCAGGAATTCTGGAAAGAAGCATTTTCTGTGAGTTAAAGCTTTAAATCCTCTAACTCTCTAACAAGGGTTACGAAGAGATGGGAATTTTAGTTCGCCTGGCTGCGGTTTGTACGTGTCTGGGGGGTGGGTGATCTGCCCTCTCCCGCCTGCCCACCCCCTTGCTGCTTCATTTCCATCCTCCCAAAGGTCCCAAACCCCCCAGGAAGAGCAGAGTTACTCTGCCCACCGCCAGAACCCTCCGTGGAGTGGCGGGCAGGAGGCAGAAGGTGGAAACGGGCAAACGTGGAGGCTGAGGAACGGCTCCGGTGTAGCTGGTGCCTGCCCTGGTGCCGCAGGGATAATTAATTCCCGAGAGCCCCTTCTTGCAGCAGAAGGGCTTTCTCGGGGGTGCGTGGGGCAGAATGATGCTGCAAAAACATCCCTGAAGGCTCCTTGTTTACACGGTGCCGACTGTGAAATCCCAGGGAAAGGGGCAGCAAACATGGTCATGCCCGAAGC